GTGAGCGCTTTGCTCCTCTAACAATGATGTCAGGGAATTTTTAAAAATAGTCCTGAAGGCCCTAAAAAATAATACATTCTGAAGTTCCAACAGGAAGAAAAAGCAGGAAACAAGGTGGGGGGTCTAGCTCTCCCCAAGTATGCATGAATTCTGAGCTGGAAGGTTCCCCTTGATTGGCAATTTTTTTTTTTTTAAGAGAGAGAGAATTTTAATACTTATTTACTTATTTTTTTTAGTTTTCGGCGGACACAACATCTTTGTTTGTATGTGGTGCTGAGGATCGAACCTGGGCCGCACGCATGCCAGGCGCACGCATGTGGCGCTTGAGCCACATCCCCAGCCCGTTTGGTAATGGTTTTACTGAAAGAAGTAGCTTATGATTTGCTAATGCCTTTGCCCTTGAAGCCATGCTATCGGCCTATCGGATTGCTTCTTTGAAAGACCGGGAAGATGCTAAGTGGAAACGCCAGCCTTGGGACAGAAATCTCCATGAGGACTTTTTAAAGGGGGAACTAGAACAAAACTAGACAGGACAAAACAAAAGCATGACATTAGCATCACTGTAAAGAGCTAAGATATTTGCAAATACTGTAGCTTGCCCCCACCACCACTTTTTTTTTTTTTTTTTTTTTTTTTTTGGTAAAAATTGTAAGAGCAGAGAATGGAGAACATTCACAAATAGGATAATAACAACCCATGCTTCCCTTTTAATTATTAATGGTTTGTACATTAAAACTCGGAGGCCTCAAGGCATCTATTTTGAAGCACAGTAGCTATGTGTGATATAAGCCAGTTTTGCAACATTAAATTCATGGAAAGTAAGAATTAGGAAAAGGGTTCTGTGTAGTGGGCCCTCCGTGGGCTGTGTGTGAGCTGTGAGCATTCTGAGCGCATGTGCAGACTGGACTGCCGTTGCTGCTCTGTCTCGGCTGAACACATCCGTGTCCTTTTCACTGCTTTGATCCCACAGCACCTGAGATGGGTGTGACTTGCCAAGATGTCAGTCAATCTGCGGACCACAAGACATCACGAACCTAGACTCAACCCCCTGAAACCTGACCCCTTGCCTCATTTGGGTTGAACTTTCTCTAGTGACTTCCCCTTGGTAAATAGGATGGTTTCTGGCGTGTGTCCTCTCTTGTCTGTCTCTCTTTCTTCCCTTGTGGGAACTGGGGCTGAGGAGCCATCACTGGACCCTAAGAAAAAGGTACTTTCTGTCTGTGTGTGATTATTTCAGGCCAACCCAAATGCACCTGGAGTGACCCTGAATGATTTAGTCGCGTGTCGCGGCAGTTGTGTTGAAGCCAATGCAATTCTCCCCAAATAAAAGTGGAACCAAGCTATCCAGTGGCTCTCTGGCTCTAAACCAATATTGATAATTCATCTGATCTTAATAAATTGGTATCATAGTGATCTTGATGGTCACATCTGGGTACAATCTAGCCCGCCTTCATTTTTAGGATATTGGTCAATAATATTCCAAATTTCTTAAAATAGCGCTGCTGACCACTGCCCATTAACACGTAATTCCCTTCTATGAAAAGATACCAATGTGGCAACTTAACATATCATCAACAGATCTTAATTCTTCTTCTGACACTTATCATCTCACTTTTATAGTTCATTTTCCTGATGGCTGCTGGCTAAGAGTCATTATTCGGAACAATTAGCAAGTTGGAGAGTCTCGCTGGAGGCTGTCGTCTCAAGAAAGTAACAAATCTTGCCTCTACACATTTTGCTCTGGAGCCTCTTGGTTATTTTTTTAAAACCTCATCTTTTAGTTCCCCTCAGGGATTCTAATGAAGATATCAGCCATCTGTTAAGTAAAGGGACTAAGGGACTGGAGCACAAAAATATCAACACCAGGAACAATCTGTATATTTGTTTGCAGTTGATAAGCACCAGCTCCAACTGCAAAATAATGAAGAACTTCACTAAATGTTTCACTTTTTGCCCCTAAAAAAATGACTTATGTACAAACCATATCCAAAAATAAAGAAAAATTTAACCTGATATTTGTTTTGTGTTTCCTTTAAATTTATTTACTAGTTCTAAGTGGAGGTATCTTACTCTAAATGTCAACATATGTCTAAGAATATTCATGAAAATTTTGGTTGTATAACACGGTTATGTCTTGATCACTATTAACTAAAATAACTATGTTGTATTCCAGTTTTTCTGGGATGCTGCATGAACCTTTGGATAAATGTGCTATTATTGGTGGACTTTGTTCACCTCTCTGAATCTAGCAATGTCTCAACTGAAGATTCTCAACCAAAGCTCTTAGCCCCTTAAGACAAAGACTTTTTTTTTTTTGCAAACAGGATTTCATCTGGCAAGAGAGGAGTAGAGAATAGTCACTCCTTTGTCATGCCATCTCTCTCTGGGTGAACTTCTTGGCTCAGGTTGAACAATTTGTGCACATTACAGTTAACACTCAGGCCACAAAGTATATTCAAACCACTGAAAATGAAGTAATTGGACCTATTTAAATTTTTCACCATCTGGACAAACAACACCCAAGGGCCAAGACTGTTACCTAAGAAAATTTCTAAGTGCATTACCCAAGTCTGAGAGGCAACAGGTAGGTGGATTTTGCGCCAATTAGAAAGTGTTATGATTGGCACATGGCTCTGAAACTCTAAAATTGTGGTTTAATGGAAATGCTGGCTGTTATCCCTCAAGTACATTTCAAGGAATCACAAAACTTTAGAATCAGAAGCGAGTGAATGGAAGTTCTCATCCATGTGGAACTCAGAAGATTAGGTGGTAACACAAGGACTTTTGCAGGTGTCCCAGTTTTTAATCCAGAGCCCCTTCCGCAACAGGCCCCAACATCCTTCAGGCCCTGATGGAACATAACAGACCAGGTTTCTCTTGACAAGGTCTGGCTCAGCTCCTGGGTAGGGCAACACTGACAAGCGACAGGCACAGGTAGTCCAGATATCTACAGGTCCTGGAAATAGCCAGCCCACTAGTTTAAAGCGTAGGAGTCAGAGCAGCAATCTACAATCTTGCAAAAAAAAAAAAAAAAAAAATCACATCTGACCCACCTCAAGGGGTGGGTGAAAGGGAATAGCATTTTGGGTTCTGGGAGCCTCTGGAACTGTTTCCTGAATGTTTGGGGTTTGGGCTCACAGTACACACTTTGCCCCAGGCTGTTCTTCCTTAATTTTTAGGCCCAAGTGTATTTTAAGGTAAATTGATCCCACAAGCTTCTGATTCATTTACACTGAACTCACCCGCTGGTGTTTTGAAAGAGCAATCTGAGGTCCAAGAAGCCTTCCAAGCCTGCTTCAGGAAGGCTCTCTGTGTCCTTTTTCTTAGAAGTAAGAAGCCACATTTGAACGTTAACGAGTAAAAATGCAAGCCCTAGGGACATGGGTCTGGTTCCAAATGTGGCACCTCAGAAACCAATGGGTTCCTCAAACCACCAAGACAAATCTTTCTGGCCTTCTTTGTCAGAAGGGACAGGAACCAACCCCTGGGCCACGTGGAGATGCTCTCTGGCTGCAGAGCTCCCAGAAGCCTCTGCATCTCCACCCCAGCTAACACCTCAGTCTCCCCACACAGGGGTGCCCCCAGCCAGCTAGTAGTGCCTTCCGGCCTTTGCCCTGCAGAGAGCCCAACTGAGGCCATGTGCTGGAAAGTCTAAAGAAATTTGTCCCTTTTCTCCAAGCTTCTAAACTTGGGCACCATCTGTGTGAGTATTACTGTTAGCATCACCTTAGGCTGAGCCTGACTGGAGCAGCACCACAGGCAGGTTTAGGTGTGCTTAAAAAAAAAAAAAACAACAACAACCAGAGCCATAAGTGAGGTTAGGTGTGTGGTGGGGGTGGGGACACACTCTGGGTGAGGAAGGCGGGCCTGCAGCTGCTGAGCTGCTGTGAGGAGCTGAACCTGCTGTCTCCCCTCACTGAAGCACTTGATGACTAAGGGATGGACTCCTGAATTGCCTACTAGCCCTGGGTCTGGAGCTCAGCTTCTGGCACTGTGGAGGCCTGTAATGAATACACTGCCAACCCATAGGATGGCAGCATCCAGACTCAGCCTTGGCTACCAAGGAGCCTCCAGTCCATTCCTGGGATGGGCCATGAAGACAGTTGCCCCAACCTGTTATCCAACCTGTGCCTGTTGCTATTGATGCTCTTTGCCCTGGCCCTGGGGTTCCAAGGCTTGAGGGAAATCCAGAGTCCCTGGTCGCGGGAAGCGTGATGAATCCTACAGGAACTGCAAAGATGCTGAGAGATGGTGGCTGGGACCTGAGCCACATTTGTCCACTTTACTTTATAGCAGTTCTAACAATACATTCTCAACTCTGACTATTCATTAGAGTTTAAAAAACTTCAGATGCCTGTGCCTTACCTAAGACCAGCAACATTAAATTCTCTGGGGTGAGTCACAGGGAATTGGGTTTTTCTTCAAAGTTCCACCATTATCCTTCTTTGTAGCATGGTTGAGGGCCACTAGTTTAAAGTGACTTGAGTACATTACTGTCTTGGAAGGGTACCCCAAATAGTCCACATAACAGCAACCGTCAGTGGTTTTTCAATTGCATCAAACAGGACTCGGGTTGATGCTTGCTCCTAGTTTCTCTACAGCCCCCATTTCACTGGCTCCTTCTGTCAACTTGCCCCAGTCACAGCACACAATAAATAGGTACAAACAGAACAGAACCCACCCCAAGTGCTGAATAATCCTTAGTATCAAATGAGCCAAACACCAGATCTCTTCAAATATTTAATCATTTTGGAGACTTCTGTCTTCTAACCCAGTTAGGTCAAAATTCTAAAGAAAGCATGATTAAGGGGTCCTTAAAAACAAAACAAAACAAACAAAACAGAAAAATAAAAACAACACTGGCTGATGTGAACAGGAGGCCGGGATTGGGAAGACAGAACATAGTATGTGTTTGAGGTCTTTTGTAGGAATTCTACCTCTTATTAAAAAAAAATACTCAAAATGAACAAGAAAGAATTAAACAGTTATACAAATTTAAGGACAACTAAAACTTCTTTTATGGCTGAAAATACCAGACGTGGTTTTGAAATAGACTCTTTAAAAGCCCTTAGATCCTGCTGTGGTTTGTTTCCATAGCCTTCTCAGGACATGCAAAAAGCAAACTAGCTATACCCAGCGTCCCCACAAGCTCTCTCAGGCCCTTGGCAAAGCAGCAATGCAGCAAGAGAAGGAAGGAAGGAACGGAAGAGGGAAGAGAAGCTGTTCACAGTCTTCGAACATAGACTCAGACCCCAACCTAATCTAGTTTCTTTGAAAAAGATGGAAATCAACGGAAGGCCTTGAAGAATCACCAATGACCTCACATCAGGGGGCCAATGAGAATGCGTTTCAATAACTGCATCATAGGAAGAGGGGTGGGATGCCCTTCTGAGTGACAGGTCTGCAATAGGACTCGGGGAGCCAACTCCTCTGGGAAACGTTCAGCAGGAAAGGTGCAACGTTGCTCGCTCTCGTTCTTTCTCCTGTTTCCTCTCTTCCCCTGTCCCTTGGTGCTGGTGAGAGGCAGTGTCAGAGGCTGCAGCCCTGGGCTCAGAAGGGGTACTGTGACACATAAATCCGCAGTCGGATCACAGAGCTGCCTCTGAAGTTGATGACGGTGTTGACAGTGATCATCTCCAAGTCCAGCTGTATGTCTCGGGGCCCTTTGATGGGGCGTGTCATCACCAGGGTGGCACTGATGGGGCCCGTTTGCTGTAGACAGACCAGGGGACACTAGTTAGAAAAGGTATGATATAAGCAGAAGGCCAGCTAGTGGCTCTGCAGCCTGAAGCAGGGTGCTTCCCCCTTGCCCACGTCAACAACCTGATGACCTCAGTGCCATGCCTATCCCCAGCTTTGCCCATTCTCTACCTGGCTCTTCAGATCTCACCTAAAGGTCACTTCCTAAGAGGAGTTTTCCTGATTCCCCAGTCTAAGTCTGGTCCCCCAGCTGCATAAGATGGAGACATTTGTTACTGAGTGTATTTGTGCACGCTAGCTCCTTGGTCCATGTCTGATGTCTAAACCCCGCTAGACACCGAGAACCCCCTCAGAGCTCAACATGTGCCTTGAACACAGCAGGTGTTCAGAAAACACAGTCTTCTGTATCTGTGGGTTTGTATCCTTGGATTCAATCAACCACGGACCAAGAGTATTCAGAAAAAATTCTCTGCATCTGTATTGAACATGTATAGATATTTTTCCTTCTCATTTTCCCCTAAACAATACAGTATAGAGATTACTTACATAGCATTTGCATTCCATCCTACATTATAAGTCATCTACGTGTGATTTAAAGTATATGGGAGGATGGGGCTGGGGCTGAGGCTCAGCGATAGAGCACTCGCCTAGTACATGTGAGGCCCTGGGTTCGATCTTCAGCACCACATAACAATAAATAAATAGAATAAAGGTATTGTGTCCAACTACAACTAAAAGATAAATATTTTTTTAAAAATAAAGTATTCGGGAGGATGAACATCAGTGGATTTTGGTATCCTGAGGGTCCTGGAACCAGCTCCTTGCAGATACCAAGGCATGAGCTATCACTTGAGTGAATGAACAAATCATTGACTGAACTTCCTGCAAGACTTAGGGACGTCACTTCATCTCTCTGGAACTCATTCTAAAATGAGGGCACAGACCAGGTCAATAATTTCCAAACAAATGGGATCAAAAGCACCTAAGATACTTTTTAAAATTAACACCTGTTCCAGGGGCCCAGTCTAAGACTTTCTAGCTCAGCATACTTTTAGGTAAAGCACTGGAAAAGTGAAATTTGTGAAGAGCTCACATCTAGATACCATGAAGTTTCATGAGCCTACTACTGAGCCTATTACTGAGATTCTAATAATTTCATGTGAATTTTTCTCCTCCATGGAATTTTTCTTTTCTAGAACTTTCAAGGAAGGAGGGTGAGAGGACTGAAGTCAGTTGAGTACCTACCATGTCTGAGGCACTCTTCCAGTTACTTTTATATACATGGGTTTATTTTATCCTCATCAAATCCCTAAAAGGCCTTGCTATTCCAAGTGTGCCCCTGCACCAGCTATACTAGTTTCACTGGTGTGTGTGTGGTGGTGGTAGGGGTATTAGAAATGCAGAATCTCAGGTTCCACCTAAGATTTACTGAGCCAGAAACAGTAGCTTAACATAATCCCCAACTGATTTGTGTGGACATTAACAATCTTTAAAGTGCTGACCTAAAGCATGGGATCTAGCTGGGACATTGGCTGCCCTTGTCTAGGGTCTGTTCTAAAGGTGTGTCTCATTACTTCCCTAATTTGAAAATAAGCAAACTGGGGTCCAGTGAGTTTCAGTAATTGCCTAGGGTCATCCAGCTAGTCGGGAGCAGAGCTGAGGTTTTGCTGTTTGACCTAAACCTCAGCCATTTTCCCCTTATCAGAAGAGACTGTGCGTTTTACTTCTTCCCCCCAGCACTGCCCTAAATGAGAGATGCTCAGGGTCAGTGTACTGAACAGATGTAGGGCATCTGTAGAGGAAATAGCGTGAGAGAGAACAGGGACAGACTGGACAGTCACTTCCCAGGAGCTGCAGAATCCAGTCCTGAGCCCAGAAAACGAAAGCAGCAGGATCTGTAAATCAATCACCTTGGCTTGTGTAAAGCCACACCAGGCATTTTGTTTTCTGTCTCTGTAAAGGGAGGGCTCCCCATAAAGTTCTGAACATCCCTCAAGGGCTGCCGCAGGTAATAACAAGGGCAGGGCTGGCTGACAGGTGCAGGCCAGGTCCTGGGGCCTCCCTGTCCGCTGGGAGACAGCAGCTGTGCGACCATGCAATTTCCTCTTGGCATTGACGTTCTGTGTTCCCGTCAGTGTTCACGTAATTAGCAGCCTCTTGAGAAGAAGATCCCTTGGACTTCCTTGTCCGTCCTTGCAACACCTCAGCGCCCTGGGCTAGTTAGGACTAGAGGGTACAGCCACACAGGGAAATGCCCGAGGCATTTATATACACAAACATCTCGCCAGCTTTCACTGTTTGCATGAACAAAGGCCAAGGGCTGAGGACCCTGGGCAGCTCTCTGGAGGGTGATTGGCAGAGACAAAGGTCCGGAAAGGCAGACAGAGAACATGGAAACTTGCAAGTTGTTCCTTTGGGCTTTCCCGGTAAATGTCTCCAGAGAGGGAAAGAATCCTAGACTCTCCCACTTGGAAGGAACCTTAGAGGCAGGTCAGTGAGCCCAATCTCTGCCTGGGTCACAGCTATAGCACCCTGGGAAAGGCTTGCCCATAAGCAAGCACCTGTCAGAGAGCTGAGGATGGTCACCTTAGGGCAGAGTGTGGCCATTAATGAAACAGGACTTCCTCAAGACCCTCCCAGATCACTGGTGGCCTTGGAGGTCAATGGTTCAAAATGATGCTGACACGATGCCAGGCATTTGGTGCAAGCTTTTACACATTTCTTACTTATTCCCTGTGAGTATGTAATAAGTAATTAAGTTAAGAACAGCATAAGGTCACAAAAATAGTGCATGGTACTAGAGTATCTTGATTCCAAAGCCAGGCTCCTGATGGCTAAGCTCTACGATAAGGTCTCAGTGCCCCTGCTTTTCCTCAGCAGCCCATGGCACTTACTTGATTTGCGAATCACCCCTTTGCATCGTGTGTGCCCCACATTCTGTTTGTTTCTAACTAAACTCTGCATAGTGGTGCCAAATAAATGACAGTGATAGACATATGCATGTGAACGCTGGCGGAGGTGTCTGGGATGGGGGTAAGCTGCGGACAGCCCACCTGACACCTGTCTTCCTGGCTGCCCTGCACTCAGTCAGGTGTGCTCAGAATCAACTTGCAGGATGGCATTGTCCAACACGTGGCAGGCAGTTGGGCAGCAAGTCAGCTTCCTTTGGCCCTGCCACCTGATCCAGGTGTGTCACGATGTAAACACACTTGGCGCAGTCTGAATCCCATGATTATGCTCCTTCTCCTGGCCCTAATCATGTCCCCAAGTCACCTGGTGAAAGCCAATCATCAATCCTCTGCCCAGAGCTCAGTGTGAGACAGAGTGCCAACAGGGCTTCTGAAAAGGGTGTGTGGGATATTCATGTGCATGTGTATGCTTGTGTGTGCACACGTGTTTGCAAGTGGATGTGTGTGTGCAAGCAGGTGGGGGGCTTTGTGGTTTGCCTGCTGGGTGACATGATGTTCCTCTTGAGCACTTAGAATGAATCTCAGGGTGACAGGCCCTGAATGGCTAACCAGCCCAACCTGCCACGTGATGCCCCCCATACCCTGGGTAGCATGCCCAACCTGTCCAGAGCCCAGGAGCTCCCAACCTGCTAACGACAGGCACAACAGTAGTAGTGCTGGTAACAACAGCATCTACACAATAGTATCTAATATTTGTTGATTGTTTTCTATTGTTGCTATAGACTTTTTCTTGTTATCTGCTGAGAGCTCAAAGCTAGAAGAGCAGATTAAAATATACCACATTCTAGAGAGAAACATAAAGGCCATGTATAAATGTTGCCCACCAGGGTACACTGATACTTCATCACCTCTACCAAGGAAAATCTGTGTGGGACACAGTGCCAGAGAGGGGAGCTGAGAGGCCTGGGGTGGCAAGTGGTCAACCAGAGGTCCTGGTGCCCACTTCATGAACTGGTCACTGTGACATCCTTAGGCAAACCTCCAAAAAACTCACAAGGCCATCCATCCTGTGAAAGCAAGAGCATTTGGGTGTCTGGATGCAATGACAATAATCAAGTTGACCCTGGCCCTCCTGACCTTGCCTCTTCTCCCAGCACCCTGCCCCCTAACCCTGAAGGAACCAGAATCCACGCTGTCCTTGCTGGGAGGAAAAGAGGAAGGCTGTACAGAGACCAACCACACTTGCCCCTGCTCTGAGCCAGTGGCAGGGAGAAACTGTACACTAGACGGGAGGTGGGAGGCCGGAATTTCCACCTAAACCAGCAGTGACCTTTGACAAGAGAGAAGGGACAATCCTGCGGTGACTGTGCCTGTGAATCCTGGAGGAGCGAGCTGAGACTCACCCAGGCGTGCTCAGGCTCGAGGCAGCGGGGAGAGGAGAAGGAAGTTCTGGCCTTTTTACCCCTGCCACTTATTTGACGAAAGTCATCCTACGTTCCAGGCACTGAGCAAAGTGGGTGACCTCATCTAATCCTAAGGTAAATATCGTTATGATCTCTCTCCAGATGAGGAAATTGAGACCCAGACAGGTTAGGTAACCATGGTTGGGATAAATGGGAGAACACAGAGCACAGTGGGTCAGCCTGGCCTCGGAGTTCACAGTAAATGCTTGAGTGGCCTCCTGGAGGGTCCTGCAGCTCGGGACAGCCTGGACCCTTGGAAGGCCAGCCTTACCTGGCCAATTTCTCTCTTCCTGCTCCCATGCCCCATGACTTCCCAGGGCCCCACCCTATGCCTCTTTTCTCTTCCCAGGAATAATCTTGGGAACTTTCAGGCCAGGAGCCACCTCCCCCATCCATAGGATGTGGCAGGCCCATGTCCATTTGTCCCCTCCTTGTCTCCTCACATGTCTTCTTTTTTTTTTTTGTGGAGCTGGGGATTGAACCCAGGGCTTTGCGCATGCAAGGCAAGCACTCTACCAACTGAGCTATATCACCAGCCCATCCTCACATGTCTCCTGTATAAATAAATACTAAAGCGATAGGGCCCTTCTCAGCATTCTCACAGAGCACACAAGCCATGCCCAGATCCAAGCTCTGAGCTTCCAGGGTTCCCCCGCTGCTGTGACACTCTGGGCACTGGAGGAAGTTTCCAGGAAGGGGATTTTCCTCTGTCCACCTCAGCTATAGGACAGTCTCTTTCCCCCATCACTGGCACCCCTCTCAAGTCAGTCACCGCAGGGACTATTTGGGTCCAGGGGGATTCTAGTGGATGGTGTCTGGGTGAGTGCCATCTTGCCTAGACAAGGCCTCCTCTGCACATCTCCTGCCCTGCTCAGGGTTGGGGCAACCTTACGCAGGAGGTACCAGTGAGGGTATTTTAAATCTCTAATGGGGGCATCTTTTCATCCTATGATTGGGACCTGCTGTGTCTGTCCGGATGAAAGAGGCTGATGGGGAAAGGCTGGAGGTGGGCTGGGCTCACCCCAAGACAACGGCCAGTCCAGAGGCTCCACAGTGTTTCCACAAGTGCTTATGGGCTTGGGGAAAGGGCAGACATACACTCAGTGCCACCTTCTTCATCTTCTAGAAGGTCCTTTACCTTCACCATTCCAACTTCTTCCAGAGCCCCTGACTGCTATTTTGGTCTACAGAGCCAGGTCTATCCCAGCTCCATGGGTCACCTACTCACACATGACCTGGCTCTGTCTGGGTCTTACTAAAGGTATGTTTGTGAGGATCCTCCATCCTTGGGGCCTTTTCTAATCTGTTCTTTCCACTGCCGTTGAACTTCCAGAAGTAAAGATGGAAAGATACTGCCAGGGGTGGGGAGAAGAGGCTTTGAGGTCAGAGATGTGATTCTTTTATAGGCCCCTGGGTTGGTCTCTGGTGCAAATGGGTGAACTTCCATGGGCCTTCTGTGTGGAACTCCCCCCAGTGACCCTGGAGGACAATATATAGTTAGAATCTGCTAGAAATACTCCTGGGTGTGGTGGGCTGAATCATGGCCTCCAGATAGTCAGGTCTTGATTCTTGGAAATGATAAATGTTTTCTTACAAGGAAAAAGAGACTTTGCAGATGTTATTAAGGATCAGAACACAGGGAGATTATCCTGGATTATCTGGATGGGCCCTAAATCCAATCATAAGTGTTCCTATAAGAGGGCAGCAGATGGAGATTTGCTAAGTGCAGAAGAGGAAGAAATGGGTTCTCCTTTGGTGCTTCCAGAGGGAGCAAAGTCCTGCCAACTCCTCGATTTCAGCTCAGTAAAATGGATTTCAGACATTTGGCTTCCAAAACTCTGAGACCATAAATTTCCATTGTCTTAAAACACCAGGTTGTGGCAATTTGTTACAGTAGCCATTGGAAACGAATACATGGGGTATCTCTTACTATCTTCTGAAACAGATCCTCTGGAGGGGAAGCTGTGGAATCTGCTTTTTGGACAAGTACCCAAATTCACACCAAAAAAATGACAAACATTTAACTAGTTATCTCTAAAGAAGCACAATCACTGCAGGGGTCATGGGAGACAAAGCTCAACAATATAAATGGTATGGTGTTGCACAGATGCAATTTATAAAAAAATAAACATCCTTTAGACTGATGTCCTCAGTCTCTAGAAGTACATAGAAGGTACTTAAGAAATATTTGTCAAATGGGTGGGTGGAGAAATGGAGGTATGACTGTCTCTCCTGCAGAATTTTAGGAGAAAAGAGACTAAGATTGCATCTTGGTCAACTTCTTGGTTCACGGACAAGGACCGTAGGGCTCATGGAAGAGATCATCTTTCTCAAGGCCAGGTAGAAAGTGGTGGAAACAGAAGCTTGCACTCCTGAGTTCCACTACCCTCTTCACACCCGTCCCTTCTAGCCGCACTCTTACCTGTTCCCATGAAATACACCGCTAGGCGAGACAACACAAGGCCATTGCTAAAGATGGTGACTGCCTCTCACCACTCCCTCTTACCCGCATATAGAATTCTCGACCTTCATTCCCAGACTTGATCTGGAAAATGTAATAGGCCCCAGGGTAGCGGGTCGTTGCTTGCATCTGGAAGATGTCAGCAGGAACGGAGCGTCCTGACACCACATCCATGTCTCGGAACAAGATGGTAAAGGGCTGGTCTCTGCAGCCAGGATTCTCAGCAGGACACATACAGCGGCTGCAGGGAAGAGAAAAGTGTGAGAACTGGATGAATCCTTTCCAGGTGCTGGTTGTGTCTACTGAGGACACTGAAAATGAAGCCACCGTGTTTTTTACCACTAAATGGCGGAACTGGATAATGTCTCTACCCCTGGCTCTAGTCTAAGGCTGCTCCAGCATGTAGCTGTGCTCTGGTTCCTTGAGAATAGCGGCTCTGGCCATCGGATAGTCTGACTATTATGGGATATAAATTAGCTCTCTGGTTCTCAGAACGCGGGATGGTTCTGAGAACCATCTGATGGTCACGGAGTCCTTTACCTCCCAGCCGAGATGCTCATTAATACATTTTAAAGCTGCAGATGATGTTGGATTGACAGGTGTCAAGGGTCCTTTCACACTCCACTGCACTAGGACCAGTCCATGTGGAATACAATTGGATCTTGTCACTCGATAAACAAGACCTCAGAACTTAACTATTTTCAATACATGATATTAGACTTTGGAAATCCAATGATAAATAAGATTTTGACCTCAAGTAGTTTACCTTCTAATAAAAGAAACAAATCATAAACATAAATATCTCTAATACAAAGTGACTAATTTAAAACACTAGTAGTAATATGTCCTAATATAAAATTAGTGACTTTTATTAACAAAGGTATATAGACACCCCTTGATTAACCCCTTAGCTCCCCTCTTCCATCTCTCACCTCATTCTTTTCTTAAAATTTTTTAGTTGTTGATGGACACAATACCTTTATTTAATTTATTTTTAATGCGGTGCTGAGGAATGAACCCAGTGCCTCACACGTGCTAGGCAAGTGCTCTCCCTGTCTCACCTGTGCCTCTGGGATGGCCTTTTAACAGGTGCCCTTTGCCAATCATAAATCAGATTAGGTCTTCCTCATCTTCCTCTTCTGTGGCCACCCATTGCCACTAAACACCCATTTAGCCTCTGTGACCCCATAGGGTCCAGCTTCTGCCATTCTTCTGATCTCCTCTAGGGCCACTGTCTACAGGACTCACTGGGCTGCAGTGACTTGGACCTTTCCCATCCCAGTAGGCACAGAGGTGGCTCTTGCCCTGCAGCCCTAGCACATGCTGTTCCCTCTGCTCTTCCACTCTGTTTAGCTAATGTGGACTCACCCTTCCGGCTCAGCCCAGGGGACATTTCCTCACAGGGCCTGTGGATTCCTAGGTCTGGGCCAGATCCAACCTACTTTCTTTCTGTAAGTTTCCTTTTGGTTGTTGATAAAACCCACCCAAACCTACTTATGTGACAATTTATTTAACATCTCTCTCCTCGGACTCTAAGCCCCCAAAACCCACAGCACCTAGCACACAAGAGCCCACCAAGGGTTAACGAGCAAGTATGTACAAAGAGTTTTTAAAGTATTATTTTTTTTAAAGCTGCATCAAAATTGCCAAATCAAAATGTCCCCGGTGCCAAAAGGGCCACATTAAAATGTCACGTGTCATGTAGAAAATAATTGTTTCCTACAAGAGATTTGGAGGAGGGAATGATGGCTCCCAGCTGAGGAGGATCACAAACAGCTGGGAGAGGGGCCTCTGAGCAGCCATCTGAAGGTGTGGATCTGGCCACGCAGAGACAGGGGGGGGATGCCTTCCACATGGCGGGACCTGCGGGCACACAGGCAGCGAGGCTGGACGTGTTGGGTGTGGGCTACACGGTAAGCGCAGGTCCTAGTGTACCTGGCACAGGACACCTGGGCAGGAAAGAAGCTGGCAGGGCCGGCTGGCAGGCTGGGCAGAGGGAGGTATCAGCATCGTGGCTAAAACTTCACCGACAACACCGGCTTGTGCTGCCTGTACCTGTATCTGTCCCTGGCCATAGTCAAACCAGCGAAACCAGGAGCAGAAGTGGGCAAGAGCCAGGAGCAGAAGTGGGCAAGAGCCGTCAGAAGCTCTAATCAACTACCAAGGGCTCTTGACCCAGCAGAGAACGCTCTGTTCTAAAGGGTTGCTTAGAAGCAGGGCTCTAGGGAACAGGCAAGGACACCTCTGAAGGACCTGCCTGTCCTGGCTTTGTCCTCTCCTCTGCCCATTTTTTATTCCAGGGGAAGCATCCATGTAAGCTGTGGGTTCCTGTCCTAGATGCCACATTTCTGGAGACAGAGGGCAGGATGGTGTGACTAGTCCAACCCTTGATCTGCAGGGTAAGGGATTGGAGTTCTCATGGGTAGAAACTGTAGCTGAATGGAAGAGCGAAGAGCAAAAGATGTATAAGCACATGTATGTGTGTGGCGGGGGACTTAGGCCGAGGATCCCTCCTAAAAGAAAAAGAAATGGAATTCACAGGATATCAGGGCAGGGAAACAAGGTCGGGTGTGTTCATCTTGTTGAAGCTGTCTTTCTTTAGTTGTCTCCTCGACACTAATGTTTACCATCTGGTGATTTAGTAATGTGCTGACCATTATGACATCAGAAACTTAAGTAGACAAGCAAAGAACTCTCTAGAAAATTTTCCTGCACCTCACTACTCATAGAGCAAGTCCCAGGAGCAGGAAGCCTTTGTTTTTCCTGGAAACTTCTCTGAAAGGCAGAATCATGGGCCCCACCCGAAACCCACCGCATCTGAACCTGCACCTGACAGGATCCCCAGGGGAGGCTTCTTCGAGCTGCATTTGAGAAGCCCTGAAAGTCCTGTGTTTCCAGAACAGTCATGAAAGGGAAAAGGAATTCATGAACCCCGCCTGTCTGCTTGGTTAGCTTTCTAGAGAATCTTCACATAGCTCTGGCACGAGTCGGGGACCGGTAGAGAACAGTGTTGTGTGTGCACACACATGTGCATACACATGCCCACACAAGTGCATAGGGCAGGCAGTGGCCCAGGTCTTGTGATGCCCCGGCCAGTGTACTCTTCCTCACAGGACACTGCCAGCCCCCTGGACCAGACCCTCCTGGACCAGGTTTCCACTTCCTCAGGGGATGCTGTGACTTACTTATCACTGATCTGCAGATAATTTTCCTCACAGCGGATGGGGTCGATGCATTTGAAGCCCCCTTGTAAATTGTAGCAAGTCTGCAGCAGGGTGCACGTGTGGTTTCGGTGCTCACATTCGTTGATGTCTGGAATGCAGGGAGATGAGAAGCTAAAGCAGGGCAGCACTACTAGATGTTGGCCCCGGGTCACAGGGGAGAGGCGGGGCCACCTGGTCTTACTATGGAGTTCCACTGTCCAAGATGGCAGCCTTTGCCCATGTGGCTACTCACTGGGCACTTGACGTGTGGCTAGCCCAAACTGACAAGTGCTGCAAGATACACACACCAGATTTCTAATACTGAATATAAGAAAGGACACAAAACATCAGTAATTTTTACATTGAACCCATGTCAAAATGATGAGGTTCTGGATCCACTGTGTAAAATAGAGTAATAAAATAAATTTAAGTGTATCTTCATATGCCTTTAATGTGGCTACTAGAAAATGTAGTTTCACAGTTGACTCACATTTGTAGCTCACATGATATTTTTATTTCCCAACACCCCTATGGGGAGTTCTGGCTTAGTACTGGGCAAAGGAGGCTCAAGGAATTTAATAATGGGCCAGTTGCTCCTGCATGGATCCCCCCATAGGTAGTGTAGGACTGGAAATAAGCCAAGCTGCCCATGTGGAGAAGACCCAGCCCTTCAGTGGCTTGGGATCTGGACCCTTCAAGGGTCCTAGAAGTCAGGGGCATCAGGTATCTGAGGATCCATTCTCTAGGGAGTCAGTAGAGGAAGTTGAGCAAGCCACCCTCCAGACCGCATGAGAAAGCCTGAGCCCCGGTCTCTGGGGCAGGTCATAAGAAGTCCTGGTTGGGTCTGGAGCATTCTTTAGAAGGGCTGCAGAGAGAGCTACAGGGCAAGGCAGAAACCAGGCCGTAGAGGTTGCAATCTAGATCTGCAGAATTCATTACAGAAGCGTGAGTGGGGCCCACATCCTAGCCAAAGGATGTGTCACTGGGCAGGGAGAGGAGGAAGCACCAGGCCAGGGTCCCACCCAGAGTTCCACCCCGGGATCCACCAACACCCACTCACACCCTCACTCCCGCCACCTTCCTGAAGCCACAGAGGAATCCCAGGTGAAGGTGTCCAGATGACCCCCTCTGTCAGCCCCAGCAGGCCCCCTGGATAGTCTTACCCTGGCAGCTTCGGTTGTCATCCAGCAGGATGTAGCCTGGAGGGCAGGAGCAGAAGTATGTGCCAGGCTGGTTCACACACTCATGCTGGCAGAGGAACTCAGAAAAGCTGCACTCGTCCATATCTGGGGGTGACAAGTTACACCTGCTGTTTATTATGGCAGACTAGGGATGGGAGCTTACGGTCATCTACTCCAATTCACCCACTCTACCCGTGGACACAATGGCTTTACTGCTATGGAGTGGTCAGTTCACTTCTTGAACACTTCTGGTGCTGGGGAGCTCACTACCTACCAAGGATGTCCATTGATACTGGACAGCTCTAGTTGCTAGGAAATCCCTTTCGACACAGAGTTGGAATCTATCTCCATTAAGCTTCCAACAGGTTCTGGTCTGGCTCAGCTGCACCATCCACTATTTTCTGAGTCACTTTTGCCCTGCAGGTGTATCCATAAGAACCTTCATTTCTAACCTGCTCAAGGGGCTACAATTTGCTTGCCTGCTGGGGTTTCCCCCAAGACCTCAAAAACATTCATGGGACTAGAGAGGAAATTTTAGCAGTGCCAATTCCCCTCTCCCCTCCAAGTGGAGGAACAATATTGTTGCTAAAATCACAATTAAGCGGGAGATGGCTAGAAAACCAGGGGGTGAGAGTGACATTAAAACCTCACTGTATCAAGCTGGGTACAGGAATGGGCACTTATAGTCCCAGGTACTGGGGAGCCCTTAGGCCCAAAAGTGCAAGGTCATCCTGGGCAGCATAGCAAGACCCAGTCTCAAAACAAATAACAACAGAAAAAACTTCCTTGAAAGAGAAAACCCTAGTGGGGCCTAAGGTGGGCAACCACTCTGTGGTTGTCTGCCTCAGATGCTCCCTGGAACAGGGACACAGCAGCCTCCAGCCGGCCTGGGACCAGCCTGGACTGGGCTACCCTGGGCTGCAGAGGAGGGGTTTGGGGAGGGACGCTGCCCACGTGACATCACTACTGGTCCGGCAGCCCATGCAGAAGCAGGCCCTCCAGAGAAGCCAACTCTTCATCACACACAGAGTTTGGCAGCTGGACGCCCATTTGCGCCTCATTCAACAAGCACGCCAAAGAAAACATGTTTTTCTTGCATTTGTTGTTTCCCGAAAACTTGCTTTCACTAGTTTCCCCATGTGACATGTCCTCGGATTACTCTCTAACTCACAGATCACTGGTGGCTCTGGATCACCCAGACGGGGTGTCGGCACAAATGAGGCCACCCCTCTGCTCCACCATTGGAGAATTCTGCCTAACGCCTCTCACATCTGAGAAGAAAGCTCTCTCCCATCTCTCTCAGAGGTCCTCTGTGATGGGTATTGAGCCAGTAGCTCTGGGATGCTAACTTGAAAACTTAAAGTGGGTTCCAAGCTCTGGTAACATCTGCTTCTACCAGCCCCCACCCCAGGAGCCCTACGAGGCAGCCCCAGATCTGTTCCCAGCCCATCATCCCAGAGCATCCTAATTCACTTCTGTGAAGTTGGAAGGTCCCATTCATACCTCTAGCAGGTGTAGTAGTGAACCCTGTCAATTCCTGAGATTCACTGTATATATGCCAAGCTCCAGGTTAAGGGCATCCCAAGCCTTTAAGTCCCCACCTTGACCTTGTAAAGGAGGTATTATTACTGCCTGTGTTTCTCAGGAGAAAAAGTGAGGCTTGCAAAGGTTGGGTAACTTGACCAAGCTCACAGATAAGTGAATAGGAAGGCTGGAATTCCAACACAGCCAGCTTCCAGATCCTAAACTGGTAAACATGATGTTGTCATGTCCTCCTGAGCAGTTATGTTCAGGACTTCCAGTCAGTGAATCTGGGGAGCCCTGAGGTTGGGGTAATTCCCCAAGCAGAGTGAGCAGATAGGGAGGGTAACACCCACTCTTGCTTCCCGTTGGGTGGGGAGGGCTGTGACCAATCCCACTCAGTTATCTCTGTTTGCAATTCCCAGACCTCAAGAGGAGCTGTGGCTCCACCCTCCACTGACATGATGAAATACAGCCGAGTTTCTGGCAGGGACCACACATTAGGCCATTTTCACTCCTCCACATGAAACCCCACCATGGTTTCCAGGATTAGCATGATTTAGAAAATCTCGAGGGGGCGGGGGCAAAGGGACAAGGATAGGAAGGGGCTGGTGCTGCGTGGAGAGGCCACAGCAACTATGCCAGCACAGTGAGGGTAACAGAGACCAGGGACATGGAGATGCACATAAAAGCAGGAAATTCGCAACAGCCAGGGATTACACTGAGGCTTATGGGAAAGACGGTGTCCATCGTGGTGAATTGGGAGAGGGACTGGCCGTTTGGGGTAAAGTGAGTCAACTGAAAATTCCTGCCAAACCAGCAAGGATTTGAATTCCTTGATAAATCAGAAGTCTCTGACATTTACTTAAGGAAGATTAATTAACAGGTAAAGACACTTCAGTGCACCAATTTTTCTAAACATATGACTACTTGTTGAGTACTTGGTGGATTTTTTTTAACAAAGGAGGAAACTGAGGCTCAGGAAGTGCCTTGGCTAAGGAAAGTAGTAAACATCAGAGGCAGATTTGGACTCAGCTCCATCTGGCTCCAGACTCACTCTACCACACTGCCTCTGCAGATGGTCAAAAAATATCTGTGGATTTGCAAGGAATTCTGGAGAAACAAATAATCCCATCTCATACTGCTAAATTTTCCACACCTCTTAGTTCCTTGGCTCAGATTTCCCAAAAAGTGCCAGGGGGGATTGAAATCTAGGAAGAGAGTGGCCTTTCATGGCTGAGAGTATTTTATTTCTGTTTCTGGGGCTGATATTTAATCAGTTTAAAGCTCTCTGTAACTGCTTGAGTGTGGCTCTGATTTTCCTGGCCCTGGAGAGAGGTGCTCATTTGTTTCGGGAGGCTCTGTCCCTAGGACACTCCAGCCCTAACTGAAGCTATCAAACAAGCCTCATTCACAGCCTGGGTCAGTTCCTGTTACAGCAAAACCCAGGATCAGGAACCACAGGACAAAAGGATTTTCACGCCCCAGTGTATGGCCCACTTATTTTGAAAAGTACAGTGAAGCATGATTAAGTTGGACTTTGTTGATTCACAACTGTTGATGATGGTGAAAGGGAATGAAGTAGAGTTTACTTTAATTCAACATTTACAAAGAAGGCAGGACAGAGAGACCATGAGAGAGACAGAGAGACAGACAGACAGAAGCTGTACATGGTTCTGTGTGAGATGCTAAAGAGTAAATACTAGTAAGATATAGTCCCTATTTTCAAGGGGTTAATCTAGTAATAGTTTTCTAACTATCTGGGACATTAAAATTTAACTTTCTGGGAGAAAAAGGGGAGGCTAATAAGAAAATTATAATAGAGTCAACAAACTAGGATGACCAAAGAAGCATAGCTCCTCAGGCTTGGAAGGAATTTATAAAAGATCAACTAAGCTACCACACCTATGTTCTCACCACAGACTGCTGAGGCTTCATTCATTCAACACTCAAGCTTTCATTCAGAGTTCAAGGACTAATTATTACATGATCATTATGTGCTGCACCCGGAGCTGGACACTGATTACATGTAGAGCCTTCAGAAGTTCCCAAAGCAGGTACACTTACATATATGATCTTATGTATTCAATGTCCCCTCCACCTGATGAGATATGTTGTCATTCCTGGGTCGCCATCCTCTGTAAATACTCTCTGTGCTGGCCCCAGGACTTAGGTCAACACTGAGTGAGCTCAGTTTACCCTCAGACCAACAGGCAGATTGCAGGGCTCCTCTCTCTCATCAAACCCCCTCATGCCTAGATGGCAGCTGTGTTAGGAGTCAGATGACAAAGAAGGTGAGGCTCTCTCCCACCTCTTAGGAAGTGACTCATCTCTGTTTTGTGTGGCTGTGGAAATGTCCCTGACTGGACATGTGTCCAGGAAATGAGAGGAAACAACTGTGAAGGAAGCCCTTCCCCTCCACCCTCCCCGCCTGGCCCCTAGAACAGGTGAAGTGTCAATGCCGGGCCCATTACCACTGCAGTGAACACCATCTTCCTCAAGTTCATATCCTGGGTCACAGCGGCAGATGAAAGAGCCATAGGTGTTGACGCAGGTTTGCACGCAGGGGTTCTCAGTTGCACACTCGTTCACGTCTGCAGAAAGCCAAAGGACATCCCTGACCATTTGCACAATAGAACACACACACCAACCAAACGGAAAAAATGCACCAGCAACAAAATCTCCTATTGCCAGGGCACCAGATCCACAGGCACCAAGGATCTCTATCAGAGACCCATTAGATCACACCTGCAGACTCCAGAGGGTTCACTGAAGGACTGGAGACTCGAGCCACATGCCCCTTCTAGGGTCACACGGCAGGAAAGGGGGAAATGAATACACATGCTATATACGCGTACACGCACCTGCCAGTTGGCCCCCTCTCCAAGGCTCACCCGCAGAATTTCCAAGCAACGCGTGCTCTTTCTCCCGCCTGCCACATTCCATCACCAATTAGCTCATATCTCACCTTCACTGGTGCTGAAGCTTCAGGTGAACAAAAATCATGATGGTTCTAATGTATTTATCATGCATAAATAATCACTGATTAGATGAGACTCACACTGAGTCCTTATGACTCTGCTTCAGGACCACTGCCCCTTTTTACAGGTTAAGTAAAGGGCACCCGGACTGATGGGGGATTCATCATCTTGAGTTTGGTGATGGTTTCATGTCAAAACTAATGAAATCACTCTCCATAGTGCAATTAATTATATATCAATTACACACCAATTAAGTTGTTTCAAATCTTTTTGAAGATTGAGAAACATGCCCCCATCCACATACTAACACGGGCCCAGTTGGAACTGGAATATGAGTCAGGGGTCTTCCCACAGCATAAGAGATTCATCCTATATGGCTCCTCTGGGTAGTGGAGGTGGAGGGAGGGGTCCCTTCCTGCCCTGGTGCTGGCTGGAGGACTACAGCACCCCATCTCCCACGTTGCATCTGCCACTGGCCGAGTTTCCAGCCGAGAGATGTCCAAGCCACTTCAAAAGTCCAGTTAAATCTCTTAAAACTCTGAAGAGAGACTCAAGTGTTTTTGGAGGTAAGGGCTTCCTGGTGAAGTTTGAGGGGCTTTGCTCAAAGGAAAAATAAATAAATAAGCAGCCATGTAGGAGGGTCCAGGGAGATACCTGTCTGCCCTGGTGCCCTTGGGGGGCTGGAGTTTCTTCTTCACCCAGGGTGGGGCAGGACCAGGCAGGAAAATGTCCATGCTGCTAAGCCACTGGGTGCAAGTCAGACAGGCCAGTGCTGGTGTGTATTAGGGCTGGCGTCCTCAGCTACTGGCCAGACGCTGGCCACATGGAGATGAATGAGCTCAATCCTTCATCTATGGCCTCCATCTATGGCCTGCTTCTGAGCAAGACCAAAAGGATTCCACGCCTGGGGCCCTAACTGCTGTCCCCTGACAGCCTTTCCAATTGCCCTTCTGAATCCTGTGAGAGCAGAGGGCACCCCACTCCGTCCTGCTGGAGAGGAAGGCTGGGCCCTGGGTTTTCCTCTCAACTCTGCCACCACCTGGCTGCCTGACTTTGGCCAAGTGCCTTCATTTTTCAGAGCCTTGACTTCCTCATCTGTGAAGTAGAGTCACCTACGCCTTCCTGCGACCTCAGTAATGCTACTGTTGGGGCTCAGTGAGACGAATGCTTTGAGGAGGACAAAGTGCTCATGAACGCACGAGGTGCTGGGACTGCCGGAGATCAGCAGTGTCCCTCACATCCCGTGCTGCCCAAGGCCCCGCTGATGTAACACCCTAGCCGGGTGCCTGTGTCCAGGCCTGAGAGCTGTGCCTGCTGCTTTATCACCATGCTGGATTTGGCTCAGCCAGGGGTGTTCACTGCTCTTTGTCACAGACCTGTCCCTGAGAGGGCTGTAGAAGCCATGTGACTTTGGACTCTCCTCTGCTCGCCTGCTCCTCAGGAGGTCCTGGACTTGGTGCATCAAGGCAACCTCTGAGCGAAAGCCTGGACTGGCACCTCCAGGCCCAGCCTTGGCGCCAAGAAGCCAGAATCTGCCCTAAGCCGCTTACTGTAGCAGCAAGGGTGCCAGGCACCCTCTCTGGGCTCTGGGGAGCAGGAAGGGCCCCTGCTCCACCAACTTCCCAACCTCAGCCACTTCTGCTGTCAGAGGACAATGACCCCTCCCTTGAGAGGAATGCAGTGGAGACTGTGGAACAATTAGCAGAACCAGCTTTGGAAGAGAGCTCTACAAAGAGCCCAAGACCAAACCCTTGAACTCTTATGCCTTCCTGTTTACCCAGTGATTTAGATATGATTAAAGTAATGGAGACATAATATCCTCCACGAGCTGGCCAAGAGCCTGCCAGCCAGCGCTCCCTGGAATGGTGTGACAAGGAAATGGCCCTGGAAGCCTGGTGGCCAGTTCCAGACAAAGACCTCATTCTGCATCTCTGGCTCTGCCTCCGCCCTGGACCACGCTGCTGCCAGGGCCTGGAAGCCTGGTTGGGGGCTGGGGCAGGCAGCTGGGGGCCAGGGTAGAACTTGCACTAATTCCTTGAGTCTCAAGTCCTCCATTTGCTTCCTGAGTGGAGGAGGCCTTCCCAGTGGAAACCACAATAGACGCAAAGTTTGCTTTTCTTACTTATCAGTATTTGAACTGATCGTGTGAGAACCAGAAAGTGCCTTTCTTTCATTCTGATTTGGGGAATGCCAAGGAGTAGAGAGAGCACCCCCCACACACACACCCCTGAGACTCTTTGCAAAGTAACAGGCCCTCCTAAGACTCAGGGAGAGGCCTAGATAATGCCTGTGGAGGCCCTGCAGCATGCATGTGGCTCTATTTTGTGCTTCATAGGAGGTCAGGTCCCTGAGCACCCCTCTTTGGGTCTCAGGAATTGAACACAGGCTACAGGACATGTGGGAAATTTTCAGATTAGGTGAGAAAGCCAGCAAGGCCACTTTTGGCTATCAGACACAGAAAGAGAAGCAAATCCATGACCGCAGGAGCTCCTAGTTGCTGGATGACGGTGGTTTTTCCCTCCATAATATTCAGAGCTTTGTGAGCCTTTTCACATAGTCTCTGTTCAGGTCTCAGGTTTCTGTAAGCAGTGGGGAGGGGGTGAGTGACAAGGGATGGGAATACACTTTACCAACAGTGTTTCGCAGACACGAACTGTCAGGCTCTGAAGAAGACTGCTTCTAGTGTTTCATGCTGTGTCCAAGTTGTCATGCACGTCACATACCTTGGCAAGACCTTCCATCCTCATTGAGGGTAAAACCAGGGTTGCATGTACAGGAATAGGATCCAGGAACATTCGCACAGAGCTGCTGGCAGTAACCATAGCGACATTCATCAATGTCTAGAAACAGAAACACAAGGAGGTAAGACAGGTTCTTCTCACGGAGGCCATCCCCAGCACGGCACATTGCCAGCTCTCCTGGAGAGGGAAGGGAAGCAAGGGGACCTGAGGCTAAGACAGTCCCAACTGGGTTACAAGGCTCCATCTTCCTACCATGTCCCATCTCCCCAGTCATCAGTCCCACGAATACCTGAACCTACCCTGAAAGTGGCAGAAGAAAATTTCTGCTCTGAGTGGGATGCTGAGCAAGAATACCTGTTGGGGTTTATCCAAATCTTAAACTAAGATTTATACAACATTAAGATTCAACTCTACTATTCCATATCACCGTTCTACTGTCTGGACAAGTTAGCCTAACGTGTAAGAAGAAACCACAGCATTGCTCCATTAACAGTCACCATGCCCGCCCTCAGGAGCAGGAGCCAGTGCAGACCAGAACCTACAGTGAAGCCTGTGAATCCTATAACACCAAGATGCTGGAATGCACTTTGCTTTCTCCTCCGTGAACAACTGAATAAACACACCTCTTCCAAGTGATGGCTGACCTTCCCAGGGAGATCAGCAGCACTGAGGTAAATGGATCCTTTCAGCAGAGCTGGGCACTGTGACCACCGTAACATGCACCAACCCACAAGGAGCCTGGTGTCACTGGGAAAGCACTTTGCAATATCCCAGGTTGATGGGACAATGGCCGTAGGACAGGGTGTCTTGGATGAAATTACCAACCTTCAGGAGGAGGCATGTCCTCACCTATACAGACTCCGGCTGGGACCAACTGATCTGACTGTAGTGGTGACTGGTCCTTTTGTCATCCCCACGTCCCCCTAAACTAATCATATTCCCTCTAAGGTACCCCAGTTCCTTTGAAACCAATGTCCACCCCGGGCTCTGGAAGTCTGCTCAGAACCTCAGACCCTGTGCCCAGTTCCTATCACCTACTGCCAAGAAGGACTCCAGTTCCCCAGCCCATCTCAATGCTTACCAATTTTTCAGCCCTCATCAGAGCTTGCACCCTGCTTGTGATTTTGCTTTATCTCTGAGTCCCAGCAACTTCTCACCTGGCCACCCCACTGCACCCCGAGCACCTGCAGCTCTTGCTTGGAAAGACCCTTGGTTTGTATGGCTGCAGATCCTCACCTCTTCCCAGGGCAGTTGGGCTTATCACCAAGGCTCAGGGAGGTAACAGAGACCTAGGGGGACTAAGAGGAAAAGCAGCCCCCACTGAAGCCAAGCCAAAGGTGCACAGAAAGGGGTGGCAGGCATCTGTGGAAATTGAATTTTGAAAGAGAAGAGTTTGGCCAAGGGAAAGCATGAGCCCTGCAAAACAGCTAGGAAAGTCTTCACATTGGATGTCAAGAGTGAGTGGGCTGCGTCAGGTGGCCTCCCCCCGGCCTCCACGAGTATCCCTCCCAACCTCCTGCTCTGTGGAACAGAACACCTTTCCCAGGGAGAGGAATGTGCCAGTTGCTGCCACCTTGCAGACCAGAGGAGTGTCTGGCCCTAAGGTCTCTATAATAGGCCTGTATGTTCGGTTGTCCCAACACACCTTGTGGTGAAAACAACAACAGCAAAAAATTTGGCCTGAGAAGCGGGAGACTTAGATATTAAACCCAACTCACTTTAACTTTGTCCAAAATGTTCCTCCTCTTTGAGTCTGTCTCCAACTCTATAAAAGTTGGATGACATAATAACTAACATCCCTTCCAGCTCCGAGATTCTACATATTAAGTTCCTGTACAAAAAACTCCCTCTCACTGATCTACTTATGTTCAGATCAGTAGCATCAAATTTTCCACTGGCGCAGAGGTTGGTTCAGATGCATGGGGACTGTCACATTGATGAATGTCCACATGTACCAGCTCTCCGGTGCATGCCTGGAGAGAGAACCACGCCAGGTCCGGGCTGGCTTATCGGGCCTCCTGGATGCATCAGACAGGTCGTGAGAGCCGACCCGACCGCAGCCTCCATCAAGAGAGACTTGGAAGGCAGTACTTCCCTTATCCTTTTTTTCTGTTTGCTTCCATGATGTTGTTTGGATGTGTTTCTCAGCCCCTCCAGGGCTGACTTTTAGGCAAGAGAATAATGTCTTAGAGAATTTAAACTGGCAGGACCTTTCCAGGAAAATGCAACATAGAAATCACACCCTAGAAGAAGAAATGGAAGTGACAGCTAGAGATTGCTATGGACTCCTTCACTTGGCTCAGTGCAAATCTAGCAGGGAGGAAAGTAAAATAGCCCTCCAATAAAAATAAACAGAAGGATCACATAGCAGATGCCAATGGAGCAAGGGACAAAATTCTCCATCGGTGATGAGTAACTCCTTCAGAGTAAAAAGACACCACAGTGGATGGGGTGGGCATGGCAGGGGTGGCAGTGACGGGGTGTTGGGAGGTGATATCCCATCAGAATCTGCAGATCATCTGCGACTTGGAGCATCTGGGTAACTCAGGAAAAGTATTCCCTTGGCTGGATATTATTTCTAACTAGGGCAGAATAACTCACTTCTATCACTTCCTGATTTAGACACAAACTTCCTGAAGGCAGGGAGCAGGGGTTCGTCAAATCCAACTTGAGCCCTTAACATGTATCAAAATCTACAATAAGAAGCTGGGCCTGGTGGCTCACACCTGTAGTCCCAGCCACTCAGAGGCTAAGGTGGGAAGACCACTGGAGCCCAGGAGTTTAAGACCAGCATGGGCAAGAGAGAGGCACCGTGCTTCGAACAAAACAAAACACAAAAAAGAACTATAATAATGACGTGAGGGTGATGGTGACAACTGACTTCAAAGGGCAGTGAGGGCTGGGGATGGCTCAGTGGTGGAGCACTGGTCTGCCATGTGCAAGGCCCTGGGTTCAATTCCCAGCACCACAAACAAAACAAAGCAAAACCAGGATAAAAGGATGCTGATGATATCAACTCAAAAGCCTTCTGCCTCCCACTCAAAGAAACCATTATGCCCCTTAGGACACCCATTAGGCCACATCTCACAGGATCCTTGGTGGCCAGCAACTCCCAGCTTCCCCACGTGTCCCAGTGAGCCATTACCTAAGCACTGGCCTTCCAGCAGCCAGTAGCCGTCGGTGCAAGAGCAGGTGTACCCTCCCTCCGTGTTGATGCAGATCTGAGTCGGGTTGCACTGGTGGGAATCTGTTGCACACTCGTCCACATCTGTAACACAGAAGCATTCCAGACATGTCACCTAGACCTTTCTATGATCCCTGGTGTCTCCAGAGGTGCCAGGTGCTTGTTGGTTGAGGACAAAAGGCAGGAGATAATGCTGCAGGGTTGCACCCAAGCATCTTCCTGAATAGCCACCTTTAGGAGACGCTGGTCTCTGATTAAAAGAGGCAGAGCTAATCTCTGATCACAAGAAGTCCACAGCAAATGATGAGCAGGTGGTTAGGAAGAGAGCACATAACCTCAGGCCCTCTTCTGCCACCCTATGCCATCACTGTCTGAAGGACGCCACCTTGACCACAACAGTGCTTGGTTTAGAAAGGCACTTGGAATTAGGCTTATTCATTCATGTGGAGCAGGGTCTGCTGTATACCTACTGTTTGCAGGACTCTGAGAGCCACCACTGTGAACAGATCAGAAGTTAAGTCAATGTTTAACACCAACAGGATCTGCTAGTCCAGTTCCTCAGTCATATTCATCCAGGAAAGCCTTTCAGCTAGACACCTGCCCCTTCCCCAAGCTTCACAGAGCCCTGCAGGCTTCCCCCAGAGACAAAGCTTCAGAGTGAAGGCGCTTGTGCCCAGTTCGGCCCCTGCTCCTTAACTGAGGGCTTCAGCACAGGGATCTAGCTGTATTCGAGTCCATCTCTCCCAAGGTGTCTGGCACAGATTCTGCGTACTGTCCGAGCTCAGAACTGCGGGTTTAAACTAAAACACCCTCCTCTCCCCTCTTTCCCCCTGCTCTGCAACCTGGATCCTAAGATGGGACCTCGGGATGCCACGTGCTCACTTTGACCTGAAGAGGAGACGTCACCAAACATTCATGTGTTGGCTCACTCCACACAGGTCCACCGCGGGCCTGGATCTGCCCAGCCTAGTTCCACCACTTTTCCACATTGTCAGCCTGTGTTCACCCGCCTGCGCCTCCCTGTCACCCCTCATTACTGCAGCAGGATCTGCTCATCTATACCTTCTTCCCCCTCCTCCAAATGTGCCACTGGAGGGAACATTAAAGGCTGCAACTGACCATGTGCTGTGCCCAACACCTTGTTTGTTACTGTATTTTTTTCCAAAGTACCTTTGAGGTGGACTCATGATCCCATTGTACAGATGAGAAAACTGAGCTGAGAGAGCTAATAAGCTCCCAGCCAAGGGCTGAGCTCAGGCCTCTCTGCCTGTCTGACTCCAAGTGGGATGACAGAGGGACCACACAGGTTCAGAAGGAAGCTGGCAGAGCACGCAGAGCAGAGAGGGCCAAACTGTGGCTGCCTTTTCCCCACGCCATCTCACAAATCATCTGCCTGCTGACACTTCAGGTTGCAGACTTGAACCCCAGCCATTAGTGTGACCCAGTGTGAGCTCCCTGAGCCAGAGCCCTGTGGCGCACAGTGCTTTGCACACTCTGCACCGGTCACAACCATATGGACATCTGAACAGGCAGGCAACGGTCTCTTGGAGTCGAGTGATGCCCCGTCCAACACCTGCATGCAACAAGTCAACATTAATGGCACCAACCAATCCCCACTCCACTCCAAAGGGACTGTTGTCTGGGCCCAGGTGGAGCCAGCCTTCTTCCCTCTAAACATGGACAGAGCCCGTGCCACCCTGAGGTGCTGACTACGTGCAGATTTGAGGCCAAGCCCCAGTGAGTGCTCGGCTGTGGGAACTCCTGTCCCAGCCCTTTACATCCCTTCCAGCCTTGCTCTGCCCACCGAGCCAAGCCTCCCCAGGGGACCCAGTGAATAATACTTGGCCATGGGCCGCTCCTGCTCCAATGTATATCGAAGCTTATGACAATAAATAATGCCGCTATCGGCTGGTGCATGTTTACATTTTCCCAGTGGGGAGTGATGGATGGCGATTGTACCCTGAGAACAACACTGCCTGAGGAATTTCTGCTCTTTTTCCTGCTTTGAGGGGAATGAAGGGTGAGGGAGACCAAAGTGGGTGAGGAGCTGTTGGAGAGCAGAGGAGCCAGCAAGTTCCCAAGTCTCTGTGTTTACGTAACTTAGAGTGTTCACAACATGCCACACAAACCAAGCACATGTAAGTGGACCAGACTGGGCTCAGAAGGGCCCATGTGTGTACACACACACACACACACACACACATGCACACACACACACATGCGCGTGCACACACACACACACAGTATTCAGGCCTAGAAACAAAATCTCTGAGGTTCACTTTTTCAAACACTCTCCCTCTTTCCTGAACTACAGATACTCCATTACACCTCAGTTCTCTCAATGTGCATGTAAAAAGTTAAAATTTTAATTGTCATGATTAATTTATACTGAATTGTCAATATATTTTGGGGAACTCAGTAAGTCCCTGGAACTTTCTGAACTCATATCCTTAAAGCACACTGGGCCTAACACCAGGTCCATGGGAAGCATTCCGTTAGCTGTTGGATGAATGAACACATGAACCATCGAGATCACTGAAGCCCCCGACAGCTTCTTCCCAGCCCCTGGGCTGCCAAAGTGCACTTTAAAAGCAACCACCACCCCCAAACCACTGTCAGCTCACACACCTGATGGAGCTCAAACTGGCCGTGTTCACACACTGTGGGTGTCCACACAGGACCGAAGGATGCCTCTCGCATTCCAGCTCTCGGCTGAATTGCTTACATTAAATACATTTGACTTAAATAACAGAAGGAAAATACATCGACCCACTCCAAGGACATTCTTTGGCAGGGACTCCTTTTCTGCATCAGTGGAAAAGTACAAGTTATGGCAACCTGAGCAAGCGTCATTATCCTCACGCGCAAACCGCGTCTGTTATTTCCTTTCCTGTGGAACAGCAAGAGTCCCCCCCCCCCAGAGAAAGGAAAGCTGGGTGCAGTCAGTCATTTATCCATTCATTCGCTCATTCATTCTTGACACTCGACAGGGCCTGCACGTGTGTCCTCCAAACCTCCAGGCCATCCAGGAGAGCTGGCACCAAGCAAAATCCCTCCTGCTGGGACTTCACAGAGTGTCCTTCTGGGCCCCAACAGCTGTCTGGACACTTGGGAGATTTTGTCACAGCACCCATGGGTTGTTTCTCCCCAGGTGGGGCAACGTCTATCTGCTGTTCAGGTGACCGGCACCCTTGCAACTGGAGGGAAGTGTTCACTGAATTTTCCAGAATGCAAAAAAGCCTAGTGTTGTCCAGGAGGAAGTCAGCTCTGAGGACTCATAAAGCTCTATCTGCACCATCACTTCTTCCCTCAGATGTCCCCAGAGTGGACTTTTCAATCCCAAACAACTGCTCTTAAAAATCATGAAGATCAGTCCACATATCATCTCCTTGAGGACTTCCCGTGAGGCCCCAGGCAGAGATGGGTTCCTCGGCCCAGGACAGAGGGCCACATTGAGGGACGGTCATTTACAATCTTATCCCACTAGCTAGGCCCCACTAGCTAGGCTGGGTCCCCCAGCAACATAGCAAACTTCATGTGGGCAGGTGTGCTCAGGAGGTGTGAAGGAGGCACTGTCCTTCGGACGGGTGTGCCCAAGGAATGAAAGACTGCCTTTCCTTCAAGTCTAGTCTAAATGTCATAGAGGCACCAGATGAAAGAACTGGCCTTGAGGCATCACAGTGCACCTGTCCAACAATTCTGGGGACAACAAAACATACAGAAAAATCAGACACCCTTCATTGTAGTCAAGAGACAGCACAAGAAGGGACCACAGTCCACCAGCCACCACAAGTTTGAGCCCCTGGAGCAGGTCTGCAGCTGAAGGGCTGACTGGCAAACCCCCACCAGAATCTCTCCAATGAGAACTATGCTATATTATTGCCATTTTATGCCTTCTCCTTGAAAGTGGGCTGCTTTCCTGAAAACACCATGTACCCACATTTCCACCCCATATAAATTGACTTCAAGTATGATCTAGTGTTAACTCTCAGTTATTACCTAAAAATCTCCATAGGCAGGCACAGTAGACTTAATGTACTGCCACTAATAGGTGATAATATGTTTGAATATCAGTGACATGGACATGCATGCCAGCTGTTTGTTACATTTGAAGGTACATCATAGACACATGCCATTACATTGCCGCATTTATTCCTGAGTGTTAAAGAGAGAATACTTGGACTGGTTTCATAACCAATCCTAACTGAAATAAAATATTCTTTTAAAACTCTACTAAACACGAATGGTTCCCTGTGTCATTAGTGAGAACAGTTTCTAGGCCACCTCCTAGTACTACAGTTTAGGAGGAAAATGAGCCGGAAGGATGAGACCTCCCTAGAAAAGGCTACAGGAGGGAAAAAATTAAGAACTCTGGGAGAAGACTAATGCAGCCTGCCTCCCCGGCTGCTGTGAGAGCTTGTAAATTGCCATGTGCAAGGGTCACCCCTGCTGCTGGGCCCCTTGTGGATGCCTAGGAAATATTAGTTTCTTCCCTAGTGAGTGGCTGTTCCCAGCAGCTGTGGGAGATAGGGGAAGCTTGGCTCTGTTCTAGAATTTACCAAAGACACCAAGACCACAGCACCAGGGCTCGGTGGGCTCTATGGCACGGTTGGTTCTATGGTTCTGTCACAGCTGAAGCCAGAGGCTTCTCCCCCTCAACCCCAGCCACATGGTGGGGGATCAGGACAAGAGGGGAAAAAAGACAAAGACAGGATCCATGCCTTGAAAGTGGGGTCTCACTTTCCACCTGTGAGCTCTGGCACCTAGGGGCCCACCTGTGATTCTAGAATCATCTGTAGCCAAAGACATAAAGTATGAGTGTCTTACCTACATCCACAGCCCTGTGTTCAACCTCTACACAATCTCTGGTTCTGCCCTTTCTCTGCGCTTGTGTGCGCCGACTGCGTGAACGAGCAAGCACTGACTTCGGGAGCCTGGGTCTGTAACCTCAGCCGAATGTCTCTGTTCTTGTGTGAGAACAGTCACGGGCCAAGGGGGAACATTCTCACTTGGTGACACAGGAGAAGCTGTCCAAGAGCCCAAGGAAAGTGACACCTCTCCAAAGCTCTACTCTTCCTTTTTTG